CTTCCAAGAGCTTTTCCTTACACCTCCTGGTGTGTCCCCACACCCAGCTCCAGAATGGAGCACATGACTGTGCCCCTGGCTCCCCCTTCCCTTTTTTCCTCCACAAAAGCAGCTCAAATATGCTGCAAGATCCAACCTGCCAGAGACCCTTCCCTGCTGCCTGCTCACCTGATATCAAACCGCAGCAGCAAGGCAATGAAGATCCCTGCGGGGAGAAGGAAACAATGAGGGGCTGGAAGTGGCAGGGAAGGGACAGCGAGGGGCCAGAGGAGCAGGGAAGGGACAGCGAGGGGCTGGAGGGGCTGGGCAGGCTGAGGGAGGCAGGGAAGGAGCCGCAGTGTGTCAGTGCCGTGCCCGGGGTGACAGTGCCCTCTCGTGGCACGCGGCACCGGGACAGCACCCGGACCTGCCGGGAGACTCCCAACCCACCGGGGGACCCTCGCAGGGCTGCGCTGGCCAAGGGCAGAGCCAGGCACCTGCTCAGCTCCCCGCAGCTCCCTCAAAGGAGACCCCAGTCCTGTCCTTCCTCTTCTGTCCTCACCCGGAATGACAATGTCTCCCAGTCCCAGCATGGCGAAGTTGTCGGCGTCCAGCCCCTTCTCCAGCAGGTCCTGAGGGAAAACCACTGCAAGGAGCAGAGCGAGGCACAGTGAGGAGTGTCCCCACTGAGCAGACCCCAGCCCTACTGGGCCTGGAAAACAGGGACCAAAGCAGGACCTGTCCCTGCCCTCAGCCCCCCCCTTTCCCTTTAGCTTTCCTTGTTTTTTCTGGGAAATTCCAGGACAAGAAACCAAGAGGTCCCAGAACCCAAACTACTGCATGCTCCACAGCAGCACCAGTTTACCCCCCCTGCTGTTTAGGGGCTCTCTGGCTTTGTTGGGTTTTTTTTGGTGATGTTTATTTGGTATGGACAGTTTTTATAAGCAGGTGAAATTGCACTCTCCAAAGGTGCAGAGTGACCCAGACACACCAGTGCTCTACAAAACATTCCTTTTCCAGAGACCTGCCTTGGCTTCAGGCTGGCAAATGACAGAGAGGAGAGGTCACTAGCAAGAAATGTTCCTGCACACATCCCAGCCTGAGCCATCTCCAGAGGTGAAGGGTGCTTGGGCAGGGCTTGCAGCAAAACAGACCCCAGCACACAGGGAAGATCTACTCACGTTTTATTGGGGCCTCAAACGATTTGGCAACTGTCACCATTACGTTGGTGCCAAAGACCTAGAACAGAGGAGTCCAAGGTGACCACAGCTGCACAGGAACACACACAAACTCTCAGCTACAGCCTCACCCCAGGGCCAGGAGTGAGTGGCCTCAGTGCCAGAAAATAGCCAAAATGAGAGCGCAGGAGCCCTGTAAAGCAAGCACACTGTCTGGAGGTAGAGGCATACAATGGCACTGGAGGTGGTAGCTACTTCATGACTGTCCTGCTCGTAGAACAGCATGGGGACAGCACTCAGATGGCAGAGCTGCTGCCCACCACCCAGCCCTGCACCTCAGTTCAGCTTTAATCAGTCAGCTTTAATCAGTAAAGTCCAATTGGAGGGCAGAGGCTTCCAGCACAGTGTCCCAGCCTGGGACCTTCCAGCAGGTACAGGGGCAAGTGTCAGATCAGCTGCAGTTTGCTCTGAGGTCATTTACTTTCATGGCCCTATCAGCTGTAAATACTGGCAGCATTTGGGGGTGGACTGTAAACACTGAGGGCAGCCACCCTGATCTCTGCACCTTTCCATCTCCAAGACTCCAGTTCAGGAGGCACAAAAAACAGGCTCTGGTCAGCACTGGATGAGCAAGATCCCAGAGCCTTGGATTAAAGGGAAATCTTAATGCATCAGATTAACTCCCATAAGGTGCAGCAAGTTCTGAGAATTGCCATGGAGTGACAGGACTCGACACTGGGATCAGGGAAAAACATCACAAACCCCCTCAAGAGCATGTGGGGGCAATAGCATCAACCCATTGAGATCTCCTTTCTCCTTGAAACCCTCCTGGGATCTGACTGTGACTGAATCCATGCCAAGATCCAAGTGACCACCTCCTGCAGAGGGGCACAGTACGAGGGCCTCCAAGGCAGCCCTTCCCTAAGTCTCCAGCAATACTCTGATCCATGGGGAAGCTGAGGTGGGAGACAGCCAGCAAGTGGAGAGCAGAGGGGTGCACTCACTGTCCCCAAAGCACTGGGAAGACACTTGCACACTAAGCAGGGCCTGGGGTACCAGGTGTGCTAAGGCAGAAGGCTGAGTCCTCTCCAGCTGAGAGCTGTGGAGGAAGTGGCCCACAGGCAAAAAAACCACAGAGCCCAGACTGTTAACGAGCATGGGAAACAGGGGCACCACTGGCCAAGTACAAAACAACCCACAGTAGCCAGGCATAAATATGGAAGGATCACACAGGCAGCTGCAGAGCTGCTGGACAGACCTCAGTGTCTCTGGCTCTCAAACATTTGGAAATATGGTGATTCAGAAGGTGGAGGCAGCAGGAAGGACTGAGGAATACGGATGTTACAAGGAGACACATTCTCCCATGCATGGAGCAGAGAGCACAACTGCATTCCTGCCTTCCCCCCACACCTTTCCTCTACAAAAGCAGCTCAAACACATTGCAAGAAATAAGGAAAACCTCAAAATTAAATAGTCAGGGTGCAGCACTGGCTGAGGAAAAGGGACTGGAGGCATTCCAGGGTCTGCTCCTCTGTGCAAGAGACCAGAAGGACACTAACAAAACCAGCAGATGAC